GGGGGGGGCTCGCAGGAGGCGGCAAGGGCATGCGCGGCTCGCCGCGGGGGACGTGTGTGGCGCAACCCCTTGAGCCTCCCTTGCAGATGTGTGGGCGTTCAGGCACGAAGCACGCAAGCACGCGCACACTATAGTAGCACACGTACGCACTCACACGCACACACACTCACGTACACGCGGAAATACGCGCTCCCACCAGCAGCAAAGCAAGCTCCTGCCTGTAATGCCCCTCCGCCCGACCCCTCCCACCCATCCCGACATCCCCCCAAAATTCCCCACATCTCCCAGACTTGATTCAGCAACAGCCGCCCATTGCCATCCCCCATCAAAAAGCGAGAGCTCAAATGTAGGACGCGCCCGACCGCCAAAACAACCACACCCAATGGCCCGCACCCCCCAGGCCCGCACCTTGGAGAAGAGCGTGTTGAGGCAGTGCACCTTCTGCCTCTCCTCCACAAACGCGTAGTACTGCGTCACGCCCTTGAGCGTCAGCTCGTCCATCAGGTTGATGATGTAGGGCTTGCGCAGGAACTTCTCCTTGAACTGCTTGACCGTGACCGGGAAGGTCGCGCTGAACAGCATGATTTGGCGGCCGTCGGGCAGGAAGGAGATCAGCTGCTCGATCAGCGGCTGGAACTCGGGGGACAGCAGCTTGTCGGCCTGCGGGGAGAGGGATTGAGAAGGCATGTGTGCGTGTGTGTGTGTGTGTGTGTGTGTGTGTGTGTGTGTGTGTGTGTGTGTGTGTGTGTGTGTGTGTGTGTGTTGTGTGCGTTGTGCATGCGTGTGCGCGTTTGGGGGAAGAGGTAGGGAACGAGGTGCTGGACAGGTGAGGCGCAAGGCGCGGACGGGTACGCCAGACGCTGTAGGGTGAATGCGATCGCAGCCGCGAGCGCTATCCAGAGTCCGCCCGCGCCGCCAGGCGCGCCGGCACGGCAGACACGGAGCCCTCGCCAGCGCCGCGGGCGGGACGGGCGCCGCCGCCAGCGCCGGCGCCGGATGTGCGCTCGAGCCGGGATGCGCCCCCCCGCCCCGCACCTCGTCCATGACCAGGACGCGGCAGTTGTTGAGCTTGCAGACGCCCTTGCTGGCCAGGTCCAGGATGCGGCCGGGGGTGGCCACCACCACGTGCACGGGCTGGGGGGAGGGGTGAATGGGTGGGGGGATGAGGGTGAGTGAGGCCGTGGTGTGTGGGTGTTCAAGGGTGCTTTAGGGGCTGCCAGGCATGTCGTTGGTCGCTTGACCGACGACATGTATGAGAGTTGATTGCTCCCAAGTGCGCGCACACACGCATCCGCGACTCACAGGCTACACGAGGGCGCATACGTGCTGACGGCCGAAACCACACCCACACCTGCGCACATGCAACAAGGGTCTGCATGTGCAAGAGCCGCCGTCACCCGCCGACACCTGTCCGTCTGCACGTGCCAACATCACACAACCTCACCTGGTACAGCCGCATGATGTCATCCTTGAGGCTGGTGCCGCCCGTAGTCACCATTATGTCAACCGCCAGGTGCTTGCCCAGCTCCTTGCACACCTGGGCCGTCTGCAGCGCCAGCTCGCGCGTGGGAACCAGCAGCATGGCTGCATGGAGGGCGGGGCGGCCAAGAGAGGATCAACAGCAGCAGCAGGAGGAGCAGGAGCGGCATTTTTGTAGACAGCACAGGTCCAGACTTAGGGATACCCGCTAAATTTGCCCGCTGATAGATGAAGCAGACGCCCCACGGGGCTCAGCCCGCAATGCAGGGCACCACCCGCAGGCTCCATGCCGCCGTGAGGCTCCATGCAGCGTGCATCAGGGCGCGCCCAGCCGCCGCACCTTGGACCTCGTTCTTAGTGGGGTCGATCTTTTCGAGGACGGGGATGGAGAAGGCGGCGGTCTTGCCGGTGCCGTTTTTGGCGCGCGCGAGGATGTCGCGCCCGGTCAGCGCGATGGGGATGGACTCCTCTTGGATGGGGGACGGCTTCTCGAAGCCCTTCTCGTAGATCCCCATGAGCAGCTCGCGCTTCAAGAAGTAGTCTTCGAACTCATGGCCCTTGGTGGCAGTCACATCCTGGGGGTGAAGGAGAGGGCGGCGGGGGGAGGGGGGCAGCGGCGGC